CTCCCATTACACTTGGGCACAGACATCTAACTTGTGGCCCATTGAAAACCCACGCTCTCAGAAACCCTTGCGGTAAATATTCCTACACTAGCTCACACCCCTTCCCCCCACCTCCATGCCAGAATTCTACCTTCTTATCATTTCTACTCGTCATTGGTCGAATATCTCACATTAAAAACTAAAGCAAAAATAAAATGAAGAACTTTTTCTTGATATTTTATCCAGTATTTTAAGTGTCTAAATCAGAAGTTTGTCTTCACACCCAATCCATCATATTGTCCAAAACAGAAGTCCTCACTTGGTTTTGAAAATACTTACCCAAAATATTTGCATGATCTGAGTAAGTGTTAAAATGACCAGCCATCCAGACTGTGTACTGAATAGTAATATCTGCCGGTAGCCTGACAGCGGAATCATCTCAGGTGCCCGGGGCTACTGTAGAAGTGGCAGAGCAGGGGCGGCCTGTCAGTTAAAGACCTCAGCCAGGCAGAGAACTCAATACAGTCATACACACTGGCTCTCTGGCACATGCCTCCAGCAAACTCTGTTCCAATGCACAGAGCAACCGGCAACAACTGCTTATTCCCACCGGTTTTCAATAACTAGGTATCCTGCACCGGCAAGAGCTTTATATATTTTGGTAGAGCAATGAGAAAAAAATTATGTAATTCTCCAGGGGCCAACATAAAATATTCATTCTTTGAAAAGTTAGTTCCTGTTCAGTGTTGTTCTATGAGTTCTCAGGATCGGTCAGGGTTTCTCCTCACATATTAAGTTTAGATAGAGTCCTCCAGGGAAAGAAATGGATGCAATTATAATCTTCAGTTAACCATCGGCTTGTGGTAACAGTATTTTATAGGCCCCCAGGCAAAATAAAGCGCAGCTGTTGGAATTAGTATTCCAATTCTCTGCTTCACTTTCATAAAGGAAGCATTCAGTATGCATAATGAGCTTATAAAATGCAGGAAAGAAAGTGACAAAGTCAAGGGAAAGTAGCCTGACACTGGAAGTTTTCTAGTGGACTGTTCGAGAAATCCAAGGTGCACAATGACACGACATTTTGTTGTTTTAATTAGACTACTCTCTTGTCCTTGCAGGAACATCTTATATAAGATTGAATCGCCTGAAATTGTCAGTATTTGACGATTTTTTGTTTTTAATCCTGACCTGAGGATATTTTTCCATTAATTTTTAGAGAGAGTAGAAGAGGGAAAGACAGAGAGAAATACGGATGTGAGAGAAATGTATCAATTGGTTACCTCCAGCAGGAGCCCCAACCAGGGCCTGCGAGGAACCTGCAACTGAGGTACATGCCCTTGACCGGAATTGAACCTGGGCCCCTTCGGTCCGCAGGCCAACACTCTATCCACTGAGCCAAACTGGCTAGGGCAGTATTTGATGATGTTTGACCTTCAATCTTAGACATTCCATATGGTTCTGCCTAATATTTTATCTTCCCAGTTAAAATTGATTCTTGCTTGCCTGGGACCTATGAAGGTGTGATGGAATGGGTAGAAGCTGTCCTATGGCAGAGTGGGTCGTAACAAGGCGGTCTGACAGAGATGCTAATAAGAAAGAAGACAGTGAATGATGCCTAGTTTTCTTTCAGGATCATCAGCAAAATTCTCTGTGGTGTCTACTGTTTGGATGTTCATGCGTAACTATGCCTCTGATACTCTGTGGTTCTTTTCAGCCATGCAGCATTCTTCCGATTCATTTTTCTCCATTTGTGCTGTTTGTCTCTGTGATGTGAATCCATCCCTATCCATTCTGTCATGCCTCCATTTTTTGCTGCTCCTTCAGATTGCACTGAGCCGTAAGAGGTAAGCTCCATCAGAGAAGAAAAAAATGTGACTTTCCTTTATGTCCAGGAAGAATCCTTTGTCCATGGTATTCCATAACCCTGCTTCTAAAATTCATTCTTTCCGAACTACACTTTGAAAGATACAAGAATAATAATTCCCCGCAGCCACACCCACACTGGAATGCCTTGAATATTTTCTACACATTCTGTGAAGTCAGTGCTTGTTTCTAAGCATCTTTTGCAAGGATGCGCATTAAAGTCCTTAGCTTTGTACCTCAACATCTCCCTCAGTTGTCTGTATAGTAATATGCACACCACATACCTGAGAAATTGATATTTCTTACTGCCATCTTGACAGTAAACAATCCTGTTTGCATCCACCAGGCTCGTGATGATTATAATAATAGGCAATATCTGAATTACTCTGTGTCATCATCCCCTAAAGCAGACAGGGATATTTCCAAATGTTTTACTGGGTTTGGTAATTTACATGGATCAAGTTCATCAGATAAGAACCAACCCTCCCCTGAATGTTGAGCTGTAGAGTTAATGGGAATTGTTTTTCATATTGTTCTCAATTCCGTTCACAAACATAGATTAGGATTTCCTAGGGCTGATAACCGATAACATCTACATTTTATCATAAGTTTTTGAGAGCAGAGATTGAAATGGCTTTTCATTCATTCAAAACACCTTGACTTTCCTAAGCAAATAAAACCAAATTTTTTCTAAACAAGGCAAGCCAAGGTATATAGAAAGCTTCACGCAGCACGATTCGGGTTGTTTATTGATTTATTGTTAACCTCTCAGGCCATCTAACAGTTAAGGCAATGAAAGGATCCTCTGCCCAATACATTTGAGTTAGGTTGACTTTCTCCCTCGCTGATCCTGAAGAGCCAGGGTTCATAGCATAGTGCTCTTTCTAGTAGTGTTGTTTCTATCTTCCTGTCACTAAACAATGAATCCCACTGCTTCTTATGGGGAACGTGCCAAAATGTGTCAGGCTGAGAAGAAATTGCACCACTCACCTTGCCCACAGACTGGCATTCATTTTTAGAGACACATGTTCCAGCCTTTTCCAGAGACAGAGTAGCATATCTGAGATCTTTAATAGAAGACATATTTAATACAGGAAAAGAATGTAGATGTTTAGTCTGTGTATTATGGCAGCACAATGTTGATAAGGTTTGATGCAGGAAGTCATTTGACCCTTGGCAATCTCAAGTCTGTGATCTGCTACCAAGTCTTGGCAACAACACAGAGTTGACCATGGATTCTCACCATTAGTGCTCATCTTGTATTCTGCCTTTTCACCTGGGTTTACTTTGTGTGTCCTGGTAATTCATCCTATGCTTGGTAAAATTAAGTTTGTTTAGAAATATATTTCTTATTGGAATTCTTCTTGATGGCTTCATTAAAATTGTAGACAATGAGAAAATACTTAATGGGCTAACTTACTTGAATCATCCAGTGTGTTTGGATACTATCATACTCAAAAGTATGAAGTAACCAGCCAAGGTATGAAGTAGCCTAATGGGAGATGGGATGAAGGAAGACTTCTTAGAGGAGGTAACTAAATTGAATCTTAAAAGTAGAAATTTGCCAAACAGAAAAAGGGTTTAAAGGCTCTGTGAGCCATGGGAACAACAAATGGAAAGGTATGAGATGTCATATTTGGGAGACTTACCAGTCTGATATAATAGGATGACAGAGTACTTGAGATAGAGATAGAAGATTGGGTATCATTTTTATTTTATGATTGAGGTAGGGGGAGTTGGTAATAGATTTTAAATGGGAAATGATGTGATCATGTATTTGTGTTTTAGACAATAACATTACTTGCCATTAAGTCCCACTTTTAAGCAATGACTTCCTACATGCATTCTAGAAACCATCTTTTACCAAGATTCATATGACTTTAAATTAAGACAATGTAGATACCAAAGGGAAACTAGCTTAGGCCTGGGCACCAGAGGGACCTGGGGTTGAATCTTTTGTCCATCCCTTCTCAGCTATATGATAGTGGAAAATCATACCATACTTTGAAAAATGAGAATATTATTTCTAGATCATAAAGAGTTATGATAATTAAGAATTACAATACACAAAAATTAATTAGCATGTAACTGATACTCTCAATAATATTAGCCCTTATTTTGACATTATGGATCAATGCATAATAACACTATTGCTTGAAATGAAGAAAAAGTTTCCATTTTAAAACCTGTGGTTACTAAGCAACCTATGGTTATTAGGTAATTCTGAGGTGATGGCTAATACTGTGATTTCTTTTTTTTTTAACTGGCCCAAGTCAAAGTATGCATTCATTGTTGAAGTGTATATTTTTGTGACCTGTTGACCTTCTATGACAAATGTAACTAACACTCCTTCCCTTATTAAAATTTCTTTTTTAGCCTGTTAAGAGGTCAGTAGATATCTGATCCTTATCAGTTTCTGGGTAGCAACTGAAAGTTGTTCTTTTATTTTTTTCAGGCACATCTTGACATGACAAGATGGAGCCACATGTTTAATTTTCTGAAATGCTCAGTTTTTTATTTATCAATGAAATAATTTCCTCTTTATCAAACATTTTCAATTAAAGCTATGCCAGTTTAAACAGACTTTGGTCTGTTATTCATGACAAAGGGGGGGGGGGGGACTAACTCAACAAAATCTAGTAAGCACTTCCTTTTCTTACTAGCCAACATGCTCAGAGCAGTTGTATTTTCCTGGAGTGTGTGGATGGTCATAGACAATAGATGATTGCTGGAACAAAATCACTACTGGCACCCTTGATTAGATAAGACTAGTTCTAGAAATTGAATATTTGTTTGCTTCATGTCAAAATGTTAGGTTTAAAAAAGCTGCATATTTAAAATCTTATTAAAATGTATTTCACTTTCATATTCAAATCCCAGCCGCCTCCTAAATATGCAAAGAGAATCATGAAATTACTTGAGATTCTGCAAAAGGGGAAAAATAAACAGAAACCTACTTAAAATGTCTAATTCTTCAATATCCAAATGTGCCTTCAGGGATTCATTTGCCAGATTTCCCACTAATGTGTTAGCCACGCTAATGCTACCCTGGGAAATACAGCTCAACCAAATAAAAAACTCAAATAAACTAAGAGTACCTAGTAATTCCCTTAAGGTCAACTTATCGCTCATTAATCCCACATTGGCCATTCACTCAGGAAGCCCCTGTGGTAGCCAGAGCAGCGCTGTTCCTGGAGTGCGCCCGATTCGTTCACCGCTGCAACCGTGGCAACTGGCCCGAGTGGATGAAAGGCCACCACGTGAATATCACCAAGAAAGGCCTGTCCAGGGGCCGGTCTCCCATCGTGGGCAACAAGCGGAACCAGAAGCTGCAGTGGAACGCTGCCAAGCTCTTCTACCAATGGGGAGACGTGAGCTTTTCATTTTCTTCCATAAAAATCAGGGTGTCTGAGTGAAGTGAAGACGTTTTGTGTGTGTGTTTGCCTGGGAGACAATGCATTGAGTATCTGCTATGTGCCAGGCACTGAACTAAACAGTTTAGGGGAAAATAATCTTAATTCATTGAATGCTCCCAATACATCTATGAAGTTAGACGTTATTATTCCTCTGTCTCCTTCCCTGGACCTCTGCTTCCTTCCTGCCTATAGATGTGTTTTCCCAGGATAGCTTGTAATTTCTTTCTGTGTAATTTCCCTCAGGGTCACATGTATTCCTGTGTTTTTAATTGTTAACTCGGTGGCAGCAGCACACACTTCTCTATCCATAACACTTCAGATCCCAGGCCAGTATTGCCAACTGCATGCTGGGCTTCCTCTCAATACTCATCTGACCAAAATAAAATTGTTCTTCCCATATAAGAACACCCCCGTCGGCAACCCTTCCTAAAACTTCTATTTTTATTAACGATTCCACCATCATCTAAAATGGCAGCCTGTGAACATGTTCCAAACCTCCTTCCCTTATCGATTGCACCCCCTTCACGTCACTGATGTCCCTTGAGGCTGGATGACTAAAGCGTTTTCCCATTTGGTCTCCTCCCCATGTCCTACACTTTGCTAGTAAAATGACCTCCCTAAGGCTTAGCCCATCGAAAAGCAGAACATGCATACTTATCTGCCAGCCTCCAGACTTGCCCCCTCCAATTCATTCTCCAAACTGCTGTCAGAGGGATTAGATGAAAATGCAAATCAGATGGTGCTTGCTACCCACTTGTAATGCTTCAGTGGCCCTTCTTTTTTCTGGGGATGAAACCCAAATTGCTTAGCCCGGCATCACTGCTCTCTCCACAGCCTTTGTGCAAATCATATCAAGATTATGGATGAGGAAGGCAAATGAACTCCTCTAAAGAATATTTATCTTAATCCTTTGCATCTAAGAGGTGTGTGATAATAATAAGATGTTACATTAATTATTTTTTATTTCTATTGAATTCAAAGAAGAAGGGGGGAGAGAGAGAGAGAGAAACATCAATGATGATAGAGAATCAACGATTGGCTGCCTTCTGCACACCCCACACTGGGGATTGAGCCCATAACTCAGGCATGTGCCCTGACCGGGAATCAAACCATGACCTCCTGGTTCATAGGTCAACACTCAACCACCGAACCATGCCGGCTGGGCTGTTACATTAATTTTCGAAAGCAGGCTACATGGTTTGTCTTTGAATTTCTAGGCAAGTAAGGCAGTATCCCTCGAATGACTATTAAGGTTTCTCCCCCACTCAGAAACTACCTTTCATCATCCTTCAGAATGTAAAATGAAGTTCAGCTTCAAGAACTGCAGGATCTGGGCCCAGCTTACCTTTCCAGCACATTATTTCCTCTTGCAAAACTGTGCTTCAACCAGGTGGCTTACTTGTCAGTCTCTGAACACATCAGTTTAGTTCCCTGAATATGGATCTTCTAGAACTCTCTATCTGGACTATCCGCTCT